GCTACACCTCTGAAAATCCAGCCAACTGCTGAAGGTATCAGACTCTACACTGAAGTGAAGCACTACACTGACTATATGAAAACAACCTGGTATCATAAGTGAGTTGTTCACACTTATTTACAAGATTCATAACGTACTGCTGTCTGTATTATCTGTCACTAGAGCCCCTAGTGTCTGAGCCTGCAGTGCTTGAAGTCAATGAGAAATTTAACTGAATGAGGACTTCAGGGTGCTAAGTGCAACTGTCTCTTCATACTGAATTGTGTGGGAGGTCTTCAATTAGCAGTCATGTTCTATTTATTTAAGAGGCACAAATGCTGATGGGTGACCTTTGCTGATGCAATAACAATGCATTTAAATGAAAGCTCAATTATGGCCATGGAAGGAAGAATTTTTACTTTGTCTGTAGCCTATTACCCCTCATTGGAGAAGTGTCACAGTCACTTGGCATCTACTCAACCTTTTATCTGATCATAACAAAGCTTTTTCCAAATGTTAGTTAATTTAGCCTCATATCTCTCTGAAGTATGCAACCCCTGTGTAATTAGACCTTTTTAACTGATAGGTGTGATTTAGAAGCTAAGGTCCAGATTTCTTAAGGGGTGAGGGGCATAGTGTGATTTTCAGACTCCAAGGTGCCTGATTCCTATTGGAATTCCAGGATTCCTGGCTCCCAGTCTTTTTTTCCCCTAACAAACAGATCTTACAGAATCGGTTCAGTGTTGAAGCTTGTGCAATTTTACTCTAATATCTTTGAAATGATATTGTATGTTTACCTAGGGATAAGCGACTAGAAAGTGGTGAGAGGCTGAAAGCTGGGAGTACAATGGATCAGATCTGGCTTCATATACTGAATCCCACAGATGCAGACAAGGGGAAATATACCCTGGAATTATTTGATGGGAAAGACTCTCACAAACTTTCAACCGATTTGTCTGGACAAGGTGAGCTGAGGCTAAACACTTCTATTGTAAGGGACAGTTAAACACCTGTTACCTTCAGAGATTTCCACCCAAATTTGGTCATAGATTCTCCTTAAAGGCATGGTATGGGGGAGGGAAGCTAGAAGTTAGAATGGAGAAGTATATACAGAAAACTGTAAGATGCATGAGAAGGGAGTAACTAATGGCAGGAACATTGCTGCCATGGAAGAGAGCTCCCAGATAGAAGGGTGAAAGGAGCCAGCTGTCCAACAGGATGACCATCAGTTGCTTTGTTTCTTCCATAGAGCTTGTGGTTTGCACATAATATTTGTGTTTCCCTCTGAGAGAATGTGGCTTTGGCTCCACAACAGAATTATCTTTCCCTACCTCAAAGCGTCTCTGTGGGAAGACAACGTCAGGACCTTGATCTTTTAGCAACATATAAATAGAGCTCGTATTTCCTTGAGACAGATAGAGATACTGTCCACAGAATACAACGATGGGTACAGACCAATGCCTGTGTAAACAGATAATCCCTGTTTAAAATGTTATGTTAAATCTATTAAGGTCAATGAAATAAGAAATACCTTTCCCTAAAACTCTTCTGTTCTTTGCAGCTTTTGCTGATGCAATGGCTGAACATCTAAGACTAAAGTAAGTTTCTGCTCAAATACTTTATTTTAAAGGGAAACAAATGCATTTTGGGGTTGTGCTATTTGTTTTGGTTCTTTTTTTTTCTCCCCTTAACAAATGCATTTTGGCATAGCTTCTCTGCTTCATACTTTGGAACAGCAATCAGGTCATGGGAGATTTCTCTTTATGAGGAGCACTAGTGATGTGGAAATTACCAGTTGCAGTAAATTATTCAAAGCTCATATCTGCAAGGAGGCAAATAAACCTTGGTAATCTCTGAGCAGTGCTGTAAGCAAGCCACAGCTGTACAAGACACAGCAAATTAACAAATGGGAAATTGCTACCAAGGTCTAGAAGCTCTGCACACTTTTAGATATATAATTCAGTGTGTGACATGCCAGGCAACAAGTAGAATCCTACAGACAGAAAACAGTATTTTAAGTCTCTTTGTCAAATGGAGCCCAACGCCTGCCAACCAGACTCGGGTATTTCAGAGAACCACTGACTTCAGTGGTTTCTATTTAGATGCAAATGGCTGAAGTACACATTTCATTGGAGGATTAGGGCCTAAATTTGTAACATATAGAAATGGGTCCCCGAAAGGGGAATTGAATGGCATGTCATACCAGCCTTAGGAAAAGATATCCTTCCTCCGTTACAGCTGATGGCAATGGAATATTGCTAGCCTCTGACAATTGTTCAGTGGTTATAACATGTTATGAGTAAGAGGGTGCAGCTTCTTTTCTGGCAAATGGCAGCTCCTGTCACCAAAAGCATACCAAACTGTCAGAGGAATCAGGCCTCCTGTGTATGGAATTTCCCTCACATGCAGAAATGGGCCTCTCAGGAACAGTGCTGGGACCATGTGAGGAAGCCTGTATTCTCCCTCCCCTCACAATACTTTTTCTACACATATAAAACAGACTTCAGCTTTCAGGATTGTCACTCTGAGTGCTTCAGAATTAAACAAAAGCTTTTTCTAGATGGGAACCTGAAACTCCCACGAGACTATTTATGGATCAGTGGAAGAAAGTGCTTAAGCGCTTTGTGGGTTGACTGGGCTTTAAACATATATTTGAGAAGCTCCATTATCCACTGGCTCCTCTGAAGTTCATAAGAAAAAAAGTATTCTTTTTTACAGATCTCTTTCTCATTCCAGAACTTGCTCAAAGGAAAACGAAATAAAACTCTTTATTCACCCCAATGAAAGACAGAATACTGGAATTTTCCACATATTTACCCTATTCTCATACTTTGCTTTAGTGCCCCTCTTTGCTTTCCCTTTGGAAATGCAGTTCCATAATAAAATAAAAACATTACAAACCTCTTTATCTCTTTCTCACTTTCAGGGAAGCAGAAATAGCAAACAAGTGTAAGTAAATAAATATGGCACATTTCCCTCATTCTGTTACACAAATCCAAGTATTATGCCAGTATGTAAAGCTAACTGTTAGTTTTTGATCCTTTCCAGATCGTGCCAGAGTTGTCCAAGGTCTGCCAGATGTTGCTACCATCATGGAGGATAAGGTAATATTGAGTAACTGTCATGCATTATTAGGTGAGGTTGCCCTTAGTTCATGTATAGATATTGCAAGGATTACTGGGGGTGCAGAGCACAAGGTGCCTTTCTCTTCAGCAGTTTTCAGCAGCTATGGCTCTGTGCTTTCCTGAGCCAGCACAGTTGTAAAAGATATGATGTGACAGAATCCTTATGACTAACATCATCCAACAAAATCATAGAGCATAGGGAGGGAAGGGAACTTGAAAGGTCATCTAATCCATTCCCTGGTTTCAAGGTGTTCCTAAACTATGATTGCAGATGGTTCTTACATACACACATACCCCTGCCTACCCTGTAGCATTAAGCAGTTTTGAGAACCACAAACCTAATTACGTCTCAAGGATTAATTTCTTGCCTTTGTAAAGTGCAAAGACTGTTTTAATATTCACTGTAAAAAGATTTACATGAGAAGTCCCTACTTATTCAGCTCCCCCCTTAGATACCACATGCTAGATTGCAAGTGCTGACAATTGTTTGTTGAAGCTGTTTAAGTGTCTGACCATGCCTATCCCACCCCTACTTTTAAACCAGTGGTTTTCAATCTTTTCTCGTTTGTGGATCCCTAAACATTTTTGCATGGAGGTGCAGACTCCTTTGAATTGTAAGTGCAGGTATTCACATACTTTCTTGATCAGTCACCTTTTACAGACCCCATAGAGATATTCTGTGCAACCCCAGGGATCCACGGACCACAGGTTGAAAACCACTGTGTTAGACTAATCATCATTGGGCTTGATTATTCCATCATTGACACTAATCATATGCTCTGGGCTAGATTCTTCTTTACTCTTAGGGGTTTTGGAAGTGTAAAGGGGACTCAAAATTACTATAATTATAAAATATATCCGCTTGAAGATCGCTTTATACTAACAGAGTGGTGTGTAGGGGCACAAATGGGAAGCAAGCCCATTGACTTCAGGGAAGTTATTCTTTAGCTCATTAAGGTATAAGCAATAGCGAAAAGAGGAGTTATTTTCAAAATTACAGCTGCTAGCCATAGAAAGGAATTACATTTAATTGCAATGCTGTGATTTCAAAACAAAAATGCCTCACTGCAGGGGCATCTATGTGCTGCAGGAGCATGCAAGAAAAATAAAAATGTGGAAAAGTCCTATCCATTCACATTTTTCTGGTTTCTGTTTAAACTTTGTTCAGACTTCTAATTCTATCCAAAATGTGCACAGCTTAATAGCATGAATTGCCATGAAATTCTCTATTTTAGTATGAAGCATTTAGCTTTTGTTTTGGTAAGCTTGCTCCTGAATCATAGAACACTCACGCTTCCCTAAAGCACCTTAGTTCTCCTAGCTCTGCCACCTGATATCAACACAATCCTATAATGAATTCTTATATCATAGTGAATAAGTTCCAGCTGACTCATAATGACAGAAACTAGAACAGCCCTGAAGTCTGAGGTCATGTTATTGACTTTAATATTTTCAAAGTAGTAAATATGCTTATATTGCTAATAAACACAGACATGTTTCTCCATAACCAAAGATTTGCATACTACAAACTGTACCTTTCCACTTCCTGAAAGCAAAATCGTACTGCGTTTGTAAGATCATGCCATCTTGTTGGACATTAAATAAGAGAAGTACAGCATGTTATTTGTGTCAGAAATTGGGGAGTGGGATCAGAAGGCAACATTTGATGTAATTTGTATGGTGCTTTCTTTCAAAACACTGAATAATTAATCCCCAAATTTTGGGGGCCAAAAGTGCCCTTGTAAAATATAGAAGTAAATATTGTCCCCATTTTACAGATGAGAAACTAAGACAGAAATGGCTTGGCTTACCCAAGTTTATACAGTGAATCAGTGTTAGGGCTGATTAGGACTCAGGAGTTCCTGAACTAGTTATTCTATGGATTTTTAAGAAGGAACTTGATTTGCTCCGTTATATCTTCAGCTACTAGATGTGAACTGTCATTGTAATACCTACGTTTGCTGTGTTTTAATACAGACCCTGTGCTTGACTTGTTGCATCTCTGGCGACCCTTACCCAGAAATCACATGGTTCAAAAATGAGAAGGTAATTGTCTTTAAGGATCGTTACAAAATAGAAGTGAAGGGAACAGTTGTCACAATTACCATTGAGAGAGTCTGCAGTGATGACACAGGAAAATACAGCATATTTGTTAAGAATAAATATGGCTCTGAAACAGGGCAGGTTACAATCAGTGTATATAAGCATGGAGAGGAACCAGAAGCACTACAGGAAAAATAACTTCCATCATACTCCAAAACACAGATTTCTCAAGGGAATTAAACACTGAATGTAAGGCATCTAACTCCCTAGGGTTCCTTTGAACTTCTCAAACCTAAAATTGAGACCACTATTTCTCTTTCCTGACATTATCCAGGTATAAAATAAACACATACACAGTGCTGTTTGCTGGAAAATGTAGCAAACTAAAGTGATTTCTGGTAAGAGAAATGAAAAAAGCCCTTCAATAAAGCATCTGCAAAAATCTAGAGAAATCCTTCAAAATTTCACTGAAGTATTCTAGCCTAAACCTACAAAATTACATAAGCTCCTCATAAAGGGCATCTCTTTTCAGCTTACTGCACTGTGTGGGATAGACGAGTGGTATACAGGAACTTTATTTTTAAGATCTTTTCATATTAAATCTCTCTGTTATTGAATATCCTGTAGCAGGTAATTTGTGTGTGTGTTATTAAACTTATCCCTGCTGAACCACAATTCAGCACAGTCCTCCAGGATATGCCTAACTTGATGTTAGTAGACCTACTCATGTGCTTAAAGTTAGGTATATTCCTAACTTCACTGAATCAAGATCCTAATGCATTTAAGTAAAGTAAACTAGTGTTGTTTTAAGTCTCCATTGGCTATAGTGAGGAATGTGTGGGCTAATGTTGTGTCTGCCACTGTACTGTGGGATCATAAATTCATATGCCCCACAGCTGATATTTCATTATAGCATACTGTAGACAGTCATATTGTGGAACACCTATGCACAGCTAGGTGAACAAGGGTGGCATTCTGTTCCTTCCTATGTGTCCATTTTTGCCACCTGTGCATCCAGGGGAATTCTATTTGTAGGTCTATATGGAAAACTACACAATCATGCAGAGTGGTGCAGGAGAGAAGAAACCATCGTTTTCACCAAGGAGTGGCTGGAGCTCTCACTTGGAAGTAAGAGGTCCTGTATTCTGCCCCACCCCCTTACCCAAAGCGAGTTTAAACCCAGGGGTCTCCAACTTCCTAGCACAGCACTCATACCACCACTCGATAGATTAGTCATTATCCACAGTTCTTTTTCTGGCACACCTTTTAAAGCTGGCCCTCTGGGCAGCCATGACAGGGTGATATGTGGGACCAGGAGAGTCGAGCCTCGAAGGTACGTGGCTCAGTGAGGTGACAGCTAGCTTAGAAATGAAACAATGGGCCTTGAGTTGGAGCCTGAACCCTTGTCCTCAGTGGGGCAGAAGCTGCCCTCCAGCCATTTTTTTTCCAATAGCTATATTAGTGACTCAGCTTCAAAAGAAGCACCAGAGAAGGCACTGAATTACAGCTGACCTGTGTTGTGCGGGTTAGCATGCTGTACTGGGAAATGAGAGAACCTGGTTCAAACCCCTTCTGGCTGAAGGAGGCCCTGGACCTCTGGCCTCCCAGGTGAGTGCCCTATCCTTTAAACTATAAACCAAAAGTGGATTGAACACATGCACCCCATTTGGTTTCTGAGGCTAAGTCTGGTAGTTACAGCTTTGGGCTAATTCCATTTTTGGACATGTAACTGTGCCTCCACTTACGGAGCAGCACTTACGTAGCAGCAGTCTTATGGCTGCTACTGCACATAGTGAGTCTGAGCTCCCACACAGTCGTTCAGTCGTCTGTGTGTGCAGGGCTGTGTGTTCAGGATTTCCTCTGGGCATGTAGATGCCAAAAATGCCCTGAAGATAGCAAAAAAATGGCCACTTACGACCAGGAAAGAATAGAATGTCTCCCCAAATGTCTTGACCTGTTTCTGTGCCAGATTCAGCTCAAAACAGAGTAGCATAAGCCCAGACATTCCTGACTGAGAAGTTGAAAGTTTGAAAAACATTAAAAATATTTTTACACATTTCACCTAAATAAACTTGTGTCCTTGAGCATATATTTGTAAGATATAAGCAAAGCCTTCTATCCTACATGGTGTAACTGCCTCCCCATTTAAATCAATAACTGTGATTTGACTTTGTATAAGTAACAATTTGTCTGTTGGGTTAGACCAAGTGACAAGCTTATGCAGTGATAGACTATTCTGAGAACTGTGACACATGCCAGCCCCCAAACAAAAGCTTGATTTCTTTGCTAACAGGAATCCTGATGAGCTAAAAGCTCATTATTTTCTTCATTTTTTAAAAAATTATGAGAATGAAGTGAAAGAAGTTGTCATATCCACAATAGGTTTTTTTTTTAAATACAACAGTTGGAAGCATCAGAAACACAACCAACTTTTTCTGAGAACAGGTGATTTTTATAGGTCAACTGTGATACTTGTAATGTTTCTGTTTTGAAAGCAGTTTATTCCTTGAACAATGTAAAAAGGAAGGACAAAACATAACAATAGAAATCTAAAGGAATGTAATAATCTTGTTTACATAATACTTACCATGTTTGACAGCTAGTATTTCCAAATTACCCACACTTTCAGAAGGTTTCCATAGCCACTGTTTTATTTGTTAGCATTGATTAAGGATGGTGCTTGCCTTTTGTACTATAGCTGATACTTCACTGTATGTAGTGTATGCAAAATAAAAATCTAAACTTGACAACAATATGTGAGTCATATCTAAATACATCTTTGGAAGACTGTTTAGAAAAATGTAGGGATGCATGTGTGGCTGGGTGTGCCACTGGGTGAGAAAAAGAAGAAAAAAACTATTCTTATTTGAAGGCAACTTCACTATTACTAATTAAATTAAATAGACTGTTTCAAATGTATGATCCCCATATCACAGTTATAATATCTATTATTGTTCTCAATGCTTGGAAACAGATTTTATCTTGATAGGATTATACACAGCTACTGACACTAAAATTTGGGCTGCAGTTGGTATTGGTTCAGGTACTAGCTTCAAATAAAGAATCAACAAATAAGATAAAGGAAAAACAGGACTGAAGCAGAGCAAAGGCTTAGTGAAAATGGGTAGAAGACTCCACCTCTCCAGAACTTGGAATAGAACCCAAATTTCTGAATCTTGCCTCTTCTGTAAGCAAATATTTGTTAAACTTACTGGCAAAGTGACCCGTTCTCTTTGTATTTTGGTTCATTTAGAGACTAGAAATCTATTGTGTCATTCACCCCATTACCTCTTATGGCAGAGGTCTGTTCAGTGGATTTACAGGTTTCAGCTCTGCTGATGACCCTCATACATGTCAGAAATTCCATCAAGAATCATCCTACTGTTTTGAGGAATGTATACACAATAAGTACATTGCAGAAACTTTAAGATTGAAAAAACAGTAGGTAATCATGCAACTGAAAGCTGCTTCATATCACATATGCACAAAGGTGCTGACTGAAGGTTCACTGGTAATTGTAATTCTGGCATTTTCAGTTAAGTCCTAGGTTTTGGAACCATTTTGTTGGTCTAATACTGCGTACATGTGTGTGGCTGTAGACAGGTCTTTAAATTTAAGCTAGTTTGCTATTATGCCTGCAGTGAAATTTGTATAGACAGACTTCCCAAACCTGTAGAGATTTGATGGCGGGACTGGGGCCTTAAGGAGTCATTTTAAATAAAGCTGGTTTTGATGTTTATTGGCTTCTGTTAAATTATTCTGTATATATGAAAGATGATGGGTCCCACTGACCCCACTTAGCTCATGTCTATGACTAAGCTTCTGCCAGCAAAGCTGTGTTAATCAGGAATATGAAAAGGTGTTATACTTGATCCAATAGCTATGCTGGCAAAAGCCCAGGGTGCCATTCTTTTCCTTTCCTGGATGTCTAAGTGTCCAGATTTAGTCTTCTGTGTGGCATTCCAACCTGTGCAAAAGTAGCATTTGTTAGACAACCATGTAGATGACCAAAATCTGGACAGTTAAATGACCAGGAAAGAAAAGAATATCAGCCATAGTGTACACACACGATAGCAGCAAAATTACACCATGACTGGAATAACTAGCGTTGCTTGGAAGGGTGGGTATAATCAGTTTTACTATGGTAAGCTGAGTCTCCATTAGGTACACTTTTCTGGTATGATGTTCTTAAACCAGCAAACTTCTCCTAGTATAGAACCTCACCCTGAAATTACAGGTAAAGTATAATACACTTTTGTAAGTGAAAGCAACATAACTGAGCACTTCAATGACAAAAAAGCATTACAATAAGTAAATGACCTACAAGGGAGGAGGCATAACCACAGCTTTCCATCCAGCTGTTGGAAAGGATAGTACCTGCAGAGGTGCAGCAAAGCAACTCCAGAGCCATGTCACGGATTGGATCATGAAAATAGAAATTAATTTGCTACCCCACACACACACTACAAAGACTTCTTTGTGAAACCATACTGCAAATGCAACAGACACTTACTACTGTTTTGCACTTTGGCTTACTGTGAAGTACCTAATGTCAACTCTAGTCTTCAGAGGACAGTGAGAAGAGGTCATCAGTACAGACTAAAAAAGCCTTTGACAGTACTTTTCTGCAGTCAGTCTGGTGTATGCATGTGAGAAGTCCTCATAGAAATGGAAAGTTTCAGTTCCAAACAGATGAACAGCCTGCATCCTCAAGATGGACTTTTCCACCCTTATAAGCAATTGGCAAAATGCAATTTGTTTTCTCCCCTGTCCTGTGAAACATCAGATACTGGCCATTACTTTGGACAAAATATCAGGTTTCTTGGATCAATAGTTTACCTGAACAAAATTCTTTGCAAATGGTCTAAAAGTTCTTATTATTAAACATTAATTAACCTCTTAACCCCTAATGTTAATTTAAAGAAGGTGTATGTGGCATATTTTAGGGCAGTGCAATTTTGAAACCAAATTGAGGCTTATTAACCAGAATTAGAATCCAGGTCTCTCATGTCCTAGTACCAGGTCCTATGCACTGATTAAAACTGTGCTGAATTAGGAAATTAGAGATGGACCTGAATTTTCCCAAAGCTTGAGGTGTGTCTGATTCTTTGATCTCAGTTTGAGATTTTCTCAGAAAACTTCAGACTGGAAAACAATGTAATTGTAAATTTGTTCAGAATCTTATTCCCACTCAGTAAAAAAAAATGCTCCTTAGTATTTAGTAAAACAAATGTTATCTGAGAAAGGTCAGGCACCGCTAGGGTACAGACATTATCTGAATTAAGCAATTTCATGGCAAAGCTCATATAATTTGTCTAATGTCCTCTAATGCCAAGTCCAACCTGCACAGAGAATGTAGATGTTGAAAATGTTGTCGGATTATGGGCAAAGTGAGAATTAAAATAAAGCACCCATGTATTTCCCCCACTTCAGTCCCTAGGCAACAGCTTCATGTTTCAGTTCTCATTTAAATTTGTATATACATAAATATGATTAAACCTATTTAAATATTGTAATGTACTGGCTAATAGCTGTGCTTAACATTGATGTCTACTGGATGGAATTATAACTGTTCAGCTGTGTGTCATAAGCCATGGGCTACTTGCTCTTTGAAGTGCTCCACGTGCTTTTGAAGCATTCCAAACAATGAAGGTACAGATACTTATAGCCGAAGCATCTAAAAAAAGGCCAAAGTGCTTCAAAAATGACTCCTGAAAAAAGAGGAGCATTTTTGAAGCACTTCCTGAACTATTGGCATGCTCCAGTGGTCCTTTAGCTTCT